TGATACAACAAGCTGGAGAGGTAAGCTATATAATTATTAAGTGACAGATCTAATCTTAAATCTGGGATTGTCCAATTTCAAAGTGTTATCACCATGATACCACTATCTTTAATTCTACGGAAGGCAGCAACTCAGTTTTATAATATACAGGTTTTTTTTTGTATAATGTTATTTTGAGAAGGTAATACATGTACATTAAAAAAAAAAAAGAATATCCAGTAAACATATACAAGGAAAGCCTCCCTCCATTCTGGACTCCAGATTCCTTCAGTTTTCCTCCCTGCAGGGGGCCATTGCCAACAGTTCTTCTCTATTCTTCCAGAGAACTCTGCATTCCTATTGTGTGTATATATCCATACCACCTATTCTTTTCATACACAGTAACAATATACATTATTGTTTTCCATTTAACAATGTATTGAATATTTTATGTTTTAGTACATACATAATAGTTTTCTTAAAATGGTTGGTTGGTTTTCAAGTCTTTTCTCTTTACAAACGATGCGCAGGGTATATAATCAAAACATAGAATCTTTGACCTAAAAAGTTTTATTTTAAATGTTGAGAGAAATTGCCAAATTGCCCTCTGAAGAATGTGCATGTATCAGTTTATTCCTATCAAAAATGCACAAAGCTCCTGTTCTCAACACTACTGTATTTCCTGTTTTTCCAATTTTGACAATGCATTTTCAAACTTTCTGTCTATTGCTGAAAGGTGAAAAAGGCATTTGTTATTAACAATCATTTCTTTTATTATGAAACTGAACATCTTAGGTTGAAAAGCCATTTGTATTCTTTTTCAAAGTATTTTCTATTATAATATTTATAATAATATCATCATATAAGGCAATAATGTGCAAATTTAGTTTTCTATGGGATTCCAAGTTTGGCATGTCCAGTTTATATACATTATCAGTCTGAAGATTCCATTCAAAAGGCAGACTACACTTTTGTTACTGTTTTTGAGATTCAGAAAACCTCAATCCATTACATCTCAAGGGTAACCTTTAAGGCAGTCCCTCACCTCCTTGCAGTCCTTAAATCTAACAGAATTTCCAAACATCTTGTGATAAAATCTGTGACTCAAGGGACAGAAGTCATACTAATGAAAAACCAAAGAAGCTGGAGAGTGTTCCTCCTATTGGTTGATTGAAAATACAGCAATGAATTCCTCATTGATTCTTATCATAAGTCAAATTCTATGGCAAGAGACCAGTATTTCTCAAACGGCCTAGCATGTATTTAGACGGTCCAAAAGTCTCCATAAGAATATATATTGCATTTAATTTGTAAGATAAAATATTAATATCCATATTCTGATTATCTGCATTATGAGTCAAATTTCAGTGCCAGCTATGTTGGGTTTATGATATCACTAGCTGTAAACTGCTGGTTACAGGCAGGTAACATGAACAGAACATTTTTTGCCAGTCAACCACAACCCATCAAGGCAGGCTACACAAACATTTCAAAGTATTTTATTTTTTTATTTTTTGAGAGAGCTCGCTCTGTCCCAACTAGAGTGACGGTGGTCAGCCTACGTCACAGCAACCTCAACTCCTGGGCTCAAGCAATCCTCTGCCTCAGCCTCCCGAGTAGCTGGGACTAAGGCATGTGTCCCATGCCGGCTAATTTTTCTCTATATATTTTAGTTGTCCAACTAATTTCTTCTATTTTTAGTAGAGAGGGGGTCTCCTCTGCTCAGACTGGTCTTGAATCCTAACCACAGCGATCCTCCTGCCTGGCCTCAGACTGCTACGATTAAGGCGTGAGCCACCAATATTTTAAATAGAAAGACCCTGAGGGCACTTGAATAAGCTTGTGCATCTAATAGCAGTCGACCAAACCCATTCTTGTGGTGAGTGGCACTTTGTTCAGTGAAAACATCCTGTCACTTTACTGAATGTTTAATTTAAGTTTTATAGATTATTTTTTTTGGTTTTTTTTTTTTTTTATTTTTGCACCATATATGCTTAAGAGGCTATTTGTTTTATTTATACAATTCTTTTTAATTTAACCAGATGTCTCTAAGCACAAGACTAGGAAGGTTACCTAGTTTAAGGGCTATATTACATTTGAAGATTCAATAAACTCATTTAAATGCTGGAAGTCAGATTGATTAGGTCATCATCAGTTAAACTCAAAACAGTTAATACAACTCCCTATAGAAGAGGAAGAAGTCTCAAAAGTTCCTTTTCCATGGCTTCCTCTTTGGCCACTATGCCTCTGCTCTTCTTCATCCTTCCCATCTGCTTGTATAGCAAGAACCACAGGAGAGCCTCTAATTCTTTAGAGTTAGGGCTTAAGTAAAAATGCTCATTTTCTCTTGTCATTCCCCAATAATCCAAGTTTCCCTAACTCTAGAGGCAGCAGACCTGGAAGATAAAACTGCTGTTTGGGATTAATCGAGGCAAAGTGGCCAAAGCCTGCTTTTATTTAGGCACAGGCTACAGGCCACAATATGTCCCAGTTCAAAGGTGACAGAGAACCAGGGTGGCCTGTAGAGACAAGCACCACAGTGAGAAGTCCCTCCGCACATCACACCTCGACAGGCTTCAGGGAGCTGGAAGATAAGGCAGAATGGAAAGTCCCACTTGCCTACCCACATAAGGAAAGAACGTACACCAAGAGCTCAAACAGCTGGCGATTTCATGTGTTGTGAAATAATTTACTACTGGAGCAAGACAGGGGATCTATGTTTCTGCACACATTTGATACAGAAATCAGAATTAAGTCTCCAGTTCTCTCTTTAAGCCTTACACAAAAACTTATACTGCTCTTCCTCCCTATTTCTTCCTTTTCTCAATTCTTTCTTTTCTCTCTCCCTTAAAAAACAGACTTATAGTGTGTGGGACTATTTTATGAGTGTTCTTACTATAAATTACTTTCTAGTATACAATAATAATATTGTTTTCTGTCAAATTTATTGGTGGTCACTTCTTAATACTCAATTCGGTTGTGGGCAAAGCAAATTTACATTTATTCTAATACAGAGATCTTCCAAGTTCTAGTACTTCCTAGTATAGAAAAAGAAAACACCAGCATTTATTGACAAGTTTTTTCATGTGTCATCTTAGCCCATGAGACAGGTATCCTCCTCCTCTACAAATGATACAACAAGCTGGAGAGGGTAAGCTATATAATTATTAAGTGACAGATCTAATCTTAAAATCTGGGATTTGTCCAATTTCAAAGTGTTATCACCATGATACCACTATCTTTAATTCTACCGGAGGGCAGCAACTCAGTTTTTATAATATACAAGGTTTTTTTTTTTTGTATAATGTTTTATTTTTTGAGAAGGTAATACATGTACATTAAAAAAAAAAAAGAATATCCAGTAAACATATACAAGGAAAGCCTTCCTCCCATTCTGGACTCCCAGATTCCCTCAGTTCTTCTCCCTGCAGGGGGCCATTGCCAACAGTTCCTTCTCTATTCTTCCAGAGAACTCTGCATTCCTTATTGTGTGTATATATCCATAACCACCTATTTCTTTTCATACACAAGTAACAATATACATTACTTGTTTTCTCATTTAACAATGTATTGAATATTTTTATGTTTTAGTACATACATAATAGTTTTCTTTTAAAAATGGTTGGTTGGTTTTCAAGTCTTTTCTCTTTACAAACGATGCCGCAGGGTATATAAATTCCAAAACGTAGAATCTTTGACCTAAAAAGTATTTTATTTTAAATGTTGAGAGAAATTGCCAAATTGCCCTCTGAAGAGTGTGCATGTATCAGTTTATTCCTATCAAAAATGCACAAAAGCTCCTGTTCTCAACACTGTATTTCCTGTTTTTCCAATTTTGACAATGCATTTTCAAACTTTCTGTCTATTGCTGAATAGGTGAAAAATGGCATCTTGTTATACAATTCACATTTCTTTTATTATGAAACTGAACATCTTAGGTTTGAAAGCCATTTGTATTCTTTTTTCAAAAGTATTTTCTATTATAATACTTATATAATAATACAATATCATATATAAGGCAATAATGTGCAAATTTAGTTTTCTATGGGATTCCAAATGTTTGGCATGTCCAGTTTATATACATTATCAGTCTGAAGATTCCATTCAAAAGGCAGAAGCTTACCTTTTGTTACTGTTTTGAGATTCAGAAAACCTCAATCCATTACATCTCAAGGGTAACCTTTAAGGCAGTCCCTCACCTCCTTGCAGGTCCTTAAATCTTAACAGAAGTTTCCCAAACCATCTTGTGGATGAAAATCTGTGACCTCAAGGGACAGAAGTCATACTAATGAAAAACCAAAGAAGCTGGAGAGTGTCTCCTCCTATTGGTTGATTTAGAAAATGTACAGCAATGAATTCCTCATTGATTCTTATCATAAGGTCAAATTCTTATGGCAAGAGACCAGTATTTCTCAAAACGGGGCCTAGCATGTATTCTAGACGGTCCAAAAAGTCTCCATAAGAATTATATATTTGCATTTTAATTTGTAAGATTAAAAATTAATATCCATATTCTGGATTATCTGCATTATGAGTACAAATTTCAGTGCCCAGCCTATGTTTGGTTTATGATATCACTAGCTGTACACTGCTGGTTACAGGCAGGTAACATGAACATGACACATTTTTGCCAAGTCAACACCAACCCGTCAAGGCAGGCTACACAAACATTTCAAAGTATTTTATTTTTTTATTTTTTGAGAGAGTCTCGCTCTGTTGCCCAAGCTAGAGTGCCATGGGGTCAGCCTAGCTCACAGCAACCTCAAACTCCTGGGCTCAAGCAATCCTTCTGCCTCAGCCTCCCGAGTAGCTGGGACTACAGGCATGTGTCACCATGCCCGGCTAATTTTTTTCTCTATATATTTAGTTGTCCAACTAATTTCTTTCTATTTTTTAGTAGAGACGGGGGTCTCACTCTTGCTCAGACTGGTCTTGAACTCCTAACCACAGGCGATCCTCCTGCCTCGGCCTCTCAGACTGCTAGGATTATAGGCGTGAGCCACCACAAAGTATTTTAAATAGAAAGACCCTGAGGGGCAGCTGAATATAGCTGTGCATCTAATAGCAGTCTGACCCAAATCCCATTCTTGTGGTGAGTGGCACTTTGGTTTCAGGAAAACATCCTGTCACTTTAACTGAATGTTTTAAATTTAAGTTTTATAGGCTATTATTATTTTTTGGTTTTTTTTTTTTTGTATTTTTGCACCATATATGACCTGAAGAGGCTGTTTGGTTTTATTTATAAAATTTCTTTTTAATTTTACAGCTATGAGCTCTAAGCACAAGACTAGGGAAGGTTACCTAGTTTAAGGCTATATTACATTTGAATGATTTAATAAAACTCATTTAATGCTGGAAGTCAGATTGATTAGGTCATCATCAGTTAAACTCAAAACCAGTTAATACAACTCTCTATAGAAGAAGGAAAGAAGTCTCAAAAGTTCCTTTTCCATGGCTTCCTCTCTTGGCCACTATGCCCCTCTGCTCTTCTCTCATCCTTCCCATGCTGCTTGTATAGCAAGAAACCACAGGAGAGGCCCTCTAATTTCTTTAGAGTTAGGGCTTAAGTAAAAATGCTCATTTTTCTCTTGTCATTTTTCCCAATGAATCCAAGTTTCCCTAACTCTATAAGGCAGCAGACCTGGAAGATAAAACTGCTGTTTGGGATTAATCGAGGCAAAGTGGCCAGAAGCCTGCTTTTAGTTTAGGCCATAGGCTACAGGGCCACAATATGTCCCAGGTTCAAAGGTGACAGAGAAACCAGGGTGGGCTGTAGAGACAAAGCACCACAGTGAGAAGTCCCCTCCGCACATCACACCTCGGACAGGCTCAGGGACCTGGAAGATCAGTGATTCAGGGTCCTGTACATTTTTTTTTTCCTACAAAACCAGCTTTGCAGCTGGAAAGACTTTCATGATAATTATTTTGCCCAAACAATATTATAGAAAAAGCAGAGTATGACAATTGAGGGAAAAGAACTGAAATCACACTAAGATACAATGTCAACTCTTAATCTGATAGGAGAAAAATGTCTACATTGAGAAAAAACTGGGTGGATGGGGTGGTCCTTATGCCCTTTGTTGGTGCTTCCCTGTGAAACCACTGATAAGCAAAGATACACAGTAACTTGGGCATTAGCCCAAGACTTCTGGGGAAGTGCTGATGAACGTGAAGATAGCTCTTTAATGTAAGAGCCACAGAAGTACAACTTAACAGAATTCCTGTTCCTTATCATTAAAAAGAATATATTAAAAACCTGACTGTGCAAGGCACATAATTGATATGCAAATAAACCTTACAAAAGTTTATCTTCCAATAGTTTTTGTCTTCTCTTGCTTTTCAGAATTCTCATTCAACCAAAAAGTGCAGTTCCCCATGGTCTAAAACTATGTCTCAAAAGGAGCAATTTACTATACCTCCTACTGGGGGGCAGAGAGAACTAATACGATGTTTTTAAACTGAAATAAGACGTGTCCCAAAATGATGGCTCCTCTTTATTTCCAACATGGTACCCATGTATTTGATTTTATATTGCCCCATAATTTTATGTGTCACTAGAAAAGTAAAACAGGCAATTAAGGAGAACAGTGAATATAAATTTTAAAAATATGCTTTTGTTATCCTTTCAAATATCCAAAATTCCTAAGGAATTTGCAACAATCTTAGGTTTTCTTTCACTCAGAAGCAAGTCATTCAAAGCTGTATGAAGATTTGGGATCTGGGAGCGGGGCACATGGGTAAAAACCTGAGCATTTACTTACTATGTAGTCCTCATCTTCATCCTTGGGACCAGGGCTATAATACACCCTGTAAGCTCGGGCCACTTGATCGATTTCTTCTTTTGTGCCAGTCAAGCCAATCAGTTTAGGAGAAAATTCTACATAAAAAATGAGAAAAACAGTGAAAAATAAAAGCTAGTAAAACCACCATCTAGACTTCATAAAAACAGTATCAGTTATAAAGCAGCCCGATTGCTGCTTTCTTCCTGTGAGTCCCCAAACATTTCTTTATGATTTAAAGGAAAAGAATTCACACAGAACAAATGAAAATTCTCTTTTATAACATTTAAGTCAAATCCTTTTATGACTATTAGTAAAGATCTGGAAAGAATACTTTCTAATTATTTAAAATCATATTTTTAATTAATTTAGTTTTTAAGAAATACTTACATGTAGTTCTGAGATACACTAAAGAACTTCCATTCTGTTCTCCATTATGTCTGCACTAATCTACATTCCCACCAACAGTGTACAGAGGAAGGAATAAGTAGATCAGAGAGATCCAGGCTGTATTTGTCTTTCTCTGCCTGGCTTATTTCTCTTAGCATAATGTCCTCCAGACAGAACCATAATTTATAACTTGAGGACTGTAGGGTGGCTATTGTCCACCCTATTTTTGGAGAAGTAGAGAAATTAAAGGTGCAAACAGAAAAAGAGAAACTAATGGAGTAGATACACAGGGCATATAAGCAACAGAGAGAAACAGACTGACTCCTGGCTTTCCTAAGAATTTCCAGATCATGAATCCAGTCTCTTCCTGAGAACTACTCCTGCTCTTAGGATTTGTCAAATTCCTGTGAATACTTATAATAAATTCCCTCATTTTGCTTAAGCTGTTTTGAACTGATTTCTATTCCTTGCAGCTGAACAATTTCAACTCACACACTGCACTATCATGTTAAAAAAAAATTTCCGAGGCTCCATAAGCCTTAGGAAATAGCCCCAAATTCTGAAGCCAGACCCAAAGCTCTGACTAACTTTCTAGACTCCTTTTGGCTTCTCAGCCCTCATTGTGGTTCTGATTTGCATTTCTCTGACTAGAGATTTTGAGCATTTTTTCATGTATCTGTTGGTTACTTTAATGTCTTCTTTTGAGAAATGTCTATTCAGATCATTTGCTCATTTTAATTGGATTATTTGTTTTATGCTGTTGAGATAAAAGTTGAGTTCCTTATATATTCTGAATACTAATCCCTAGTCACATGAATAGTTTCCAAATATTTTCTCCCATTCTGCAGGTTATCTCCTCATTCTGTTAATTGTTTCTTTTACTATGCAGAAGCTTTTTAGTTTTATATAAAACCATCTATCTATTTTTGCCTCTGTTATCTGTGCTTTTAAGGCCTTATCCATAAAATCTTCTCTGACCAATGTCCTGAGGCACTTCCCCTATGTTTTCTTCTAATAGTCTTGTAGTTTGGGGTCTTAGTCTTTAATGCATGTTAAACTGACTTTTGTATATGGTGACAGAAAAGGGTCTAGTTTCATTCTGCATGTGGACATCCAGTTTTCCCAGTACCATTTATTGAAGAGACTATTCTTTCCCCAGCAAATGTCCTTTGTGCCTCTGTGGAAAATCAGTGGACTGTAAATAGGTCCAATGATGGACATTTGGGTTTTTCCCACTTACTGGCTGTCACAAATAAAGTTGCCAAGAGCATCCATGGACAAGTTTTTGTGTGGACATATGCTTTCATTTCTTTTGAGTAAGCACCTAGGATTGGAATGGCTAGATTATATAGTTGGTATATGTTTAACTTTTTAAGATACTGACAAAATGTTTCCTAAAGTGGATGTAGGTTTTTTGTGTTCCTGTCGTCAGAATATTAGAGTTCTAGCTCCTCCCATCCCCACCACACTTGGTACGGTCATTTTAATTTTGGCCACTCTAGTAGATGGTTAGTAATATCTCATTATAGTTTTAATATGCATTTTCCTAATGACCAGTAATGTTAAGCATCTTTTCATGCTCACATTTGCCACTTTAATGAAGTGTCTGTTCACATCTTCTGCCCATTTTTATGGAGTTCTTTAGGTTTTCACATGTATATGTATATAGACTGATATATTATTTATATTCTAGGTACAAGTTAGGTACATGATTTACAAATATTTCCTGCCAGTCTATGGTGTGTCATTTCAGTCTCTTAATAGTGTCTTTCAAAGAGCAGTTTTCAATTTTGATGAAGTCCAAATTTGTCGATTTTGCTTTTTATATATAGTTCTTTTGGTTTGATATGTAAGAAATCATTGCCTAACCAAAGGTTATAAGGGTTTATACTTTCTTCTTCAAGTCTAGAGTTTTTTATTATATATATTTAAGCAGGATTTATGTCCACAGTTTGCACGTTTGTCAGAAATTTGAGCAATAGCATATTCATTTACTAATGAATTCAGTGGATTATACACAATCTTCAATTTAAATGTGTTATTATGGCAATTATTTTTATCACATATTAACCAAACCGTAATTTTCCCAAATGAGTAGACATTTGAGTCGCTGTATCTAACTGAAATATCAAAGCCTCATGTTAATATTCTTCAACAGCACTCCCATATAGTGATCAGTGATGTAATCACTACTCCCAAATCACATCTCCCAAATCATTTTGGGAGATTTTTTTAAAAATTCAAGTTGGTATTTAGAAAAATACTGCAATTTCAGCAATTCAGTTAAAAAAAATTTTGGATATGCAGCTATGTCAAGTTTCATTCACCTTTCTCTTTATTTACTCGCAGAGCAGAAAAGAAAGACAAGCCATCCTGCCTTTTTAGAACGATTTCTTAATTTAGAATGAGTTTACTCAAGGAACAAAAATAGGCTTCTATACCTTTGGAAGAAGGAATTGCTTATTGAATGTTGGGCTATCATTTCAGTAGTCTGATGAATCCAGATGTTTTAAGTGACTTCTAATGGCTCATTCACATAAATTCCAAAAACTTAACAGCAAATACAGGAGATGAATGATTTACCCTTAGCCCTGAACTTTGTTATAACTGCTATTTTGGAATGATGAGTATTAGTTGTCCAGCCCTTTATCAGAAGTTCAGAGTAGAATCTCACACCTGTGTTGGGATTATTTGGGAAATAAGATACAGATATTTTGACCTGGTATGAACTTAACTGCAAAGCAAATTTTTTTCTCATATGGTGCAATGAAAAACTATAATATATGTTTTATAATATTTTTCAACTTTAGTGTATTTCAGAACTACATATATTTTCTTAAAACTACACATTCTTAAGAATGTGATTTAAATAGTTAGAAAATATTTCCTCCAGATCTTTACCGGTAGTCATAAAACAATTTGACTTATATGTTATGAAGGAGAATTTTCATTTGTTCTGTGTTTCTTATTTACATACTGACTAGTCACAGTAATGATTCTGAGCTTCATCTTTTTATTCACCTGTAAAAATGGTGACACCACCACTTGTCCTATTTTACAAGGCATTGTGAGGTAAATGAATTGATATTTCAAAAACTGTAAGAGCTAAATAGATGTAAAGTATAAGAAGACATACCTTTCACATAATTTGCAATGGTTTCTTTTGTGTCCCTCTCTGGGTCAATGGTGATGAAAAGTGGAGTTAAATTTGGCAGAGATGGAATATCATCTGAAAGGAAGTTCCAGTTAGTCAGTATTCATACCTTAAGGGAAAAGACAAAGGAAACCAGCAATGACAGGAGAGTTTAGTGTGACAGTAAGGTATTAAGGAAACACAGGACATCTTAACATTCAGGTGCAGAGAACAGAGAAGGGGGCGGGATGGCTTCTAGGAAGAACAGATTCATATACAGAAGTACTACCTGTGGTGGAATCAGATACACATCCTATCAAATACCAGTGCATACGCTGGGCACGGTGGCTCACACCTGTAATCCTAGCACTCTGGGAGGCTGAGGCGGGGGGATTGCTCGAGGTCAGGAGTTCGAAACCAGCCTAAGCAAGAGCGAGACCCCGTCTCTACTATAAATAGAAATAAATTAATTGGCCAACTAATATATATGGAAAAAATTAGCTGGGCATGGTGGCACATGCCTGTAGTCCCAGCTACTCGGGAGGCTGAGGCAGCAGGATCGCTTGAGCCCAGGAGTTTGAGGTTGCTGTGAGCTAGGCTGACGCCATGGCACTTACTCTAGCCTGGGCAACAAAGTGAGGCTTTGTATCAAAAAAAAAAATACCAGTGCATAAATGTTGTTACTCCAGATCACACCATGTGGCTATCTCATCTCCTAATTCAATCCAGTGTTTGTAATTTTTTCCCTTACCACCATATGTCAAGGGCAAGGTAAACTATTAATAAGAACTGAATATCCGGACGCAATTCATTTTGAGAAGGAGGCATCCTTTCTTCTTATTGGTACTAATAAAATGCCACTGACTGCAGTACCATTCCATAGATTTCCTAGACTAACCATCACAGTCACTAGGGAAAAGGCAACAGCAGTGTCAGTGACAAAAGGCTATGATACAGGAAAGGACATAAAAGCAGAGTTAAGTGAGACCCAGACCACACAGACATTTTTAAGTGATCTAATATTTAGCATCAAATTATATTTCCTTTGGTGGAGAATAAGGTCACAGGAATCAAAACAACAAACAAGTCAAGTGCTAAGAGTGTATGCTCTTGCAAACCAAATTATTACAATACCCAACCTAACAGTAATACAAGAATGTGAAAAAGATAGTAACATTAAGTAAACATATACTTTGTATAGTTAGTGATGGCTTTCTTACCTATTTCATTCACAACTTGAATCATTTTTTCTAGTTCTTCTGGACAGATGTCAGGGCAATGAGTGAAACCAAAGTAAATCAGTACCCACTGACCCAGGTAGTCCTTGTCAGTTTTAGGTTCTCCAGTGTGAGTTGTGAGAGAAAATGGTCCCCCAAGTAAAGGCTTTCCAATGCTTCGCTGCCGTTCCTTCTCCAGCTCTTCAGGAGACACAAACATACACACCAAAAAAAAGTTCAGTCTAACCAGAGGTACACAAATGCCTGATACATGGTCAGTACTATATAATGACTATGGAGGCACAAAATGTGGAAAAACTAGTTTCAGTTTTTAAGAAGCTCAAGAAAACTTTTCAGAAAAATGAGCATAAAAAAAACCATAATCAAATTGAATGCTATTGTATGTAGTAAGCACTATTAAAAAAAGAGAGAAAAGAGAAAAGAAAAAGGTAAAAATATTTCTTCCTCTTCCAGAATAATTCAGTTCTAAGCCATGAAGTGTGGCCATGCTGGGGGTGGGGGTGGGGCCATGGTGGCCCAGAATAGAATGTCTGGACCCAGGTAGGCTGAGGTGGGCAGACTGGCATGAGGAGTCCAAGCCTGAGCACGCTGAGGATGACAGCTGCATGGGGAGGGAGCAGTGGTGATGGGACCTTAGTTACATATGGGGAATTGATGAAATAAACAAATATATTAAAGATAAGAGAGTTACAAAAGGAAAGTCAACAATGGAGAAGGGGGAAACTAGAATGAATCCTGAAGTACTGGAATGACACTGGAGGTATCAGGGTGAACTTATGGTTTCTATATAGAGAGATACAAAATAAATATAGATGTAAATACATCTATTTCCTATCTCTGTCCACTGAGAAGATCCAGGAGCAGACACACCCCAAGAGCAACGAGCCCAGAACCTGACTTCTAAACATCGTTCTCTGCTAAAAAGAAACAGCTTTTTGGAGAAATGGCTAAATACAGGGCTAGAGCAGAGAAAGTACAAGATAAGCCTGGAGCCTCTTGCAGCAGAAGGAAAGCAGAATTCAAAGAACATTGGAGATGTCAAAAAGACATCAAAGGCCGGGTGCCGTGGCTGACGCCTGTAATCCTAGCTCTCTGGGAGGCAGAGGTGGGCGGATTGTTTGAGCTCAGGAGTTCGAAACCAACCTGAGCAAGAGTGAGACCCCGTCTCTACTATAAATAAAAGAAATTAATTGGTCAACTAATATATATAGAAAAAAAAATTAGCCGGGCATGGTGGCACATGCCTGTAGTCCCAGCTACTCGGGAGGCTGAGCAGGATCGCTTGAGCCCAGGAGTTTGAGGTTGCTGTGAGCTAGGCTGACGCCACGGCACTCACTCTAGCCTGAGCAACAAAGTGAGACTCTGTCTCAAAAAAAAAAAAAAAAAAAAAAAAAGACATCAAAGCTTGCTTGAAGGTGCACCCACTGGTCAATCTGGAACAACTTAAACATCAAAATAAAGAGAATATGGATTAAAATTCAATGAATATATAGGAAACCATGAGTTCAAAGATATCAATAGTTTGATGAGGAACAGAATATGTAAACACACAACACAAAATACATATTAATTACACAAAGGAGTAACTTTTCAGTAGAAAAACCTATTAGACACACCAGCTTAATCAAGTGATGCAACTAAACATTATTAGTAATGAGCCAACTGATATGTGGTTCCTGACTAGATGCAATGAGAACAAAACATTGCTCTTGTGATATTTCTGCCAAAGGTGCACAACCTGAATTTAATCACGGAGAAACATCAAATGCAAACTAAGGGACGTTCTACAAAATAACTGCCCTGTAACCTTCAAAGTTGTCATGGTCATTCATGAAAGCCTGGGAAACAGTTACAAATTGAAGGAGACTGAAGAGATAAGTAGGTACAAGGTGTGGTTTTGAACTGGATCCTTTTGCTATAAAGAACACCAAGTAGCAAAACTTGAAGACTGAACTGTATTCAAAACTTGACAACTGTCTAAAGATTGAAAAGTAATAACCTATCACCATTAATTTTCTGTATGTTGTGGTTATGTGGAGAATGTCCTTGTTTGCAGGAAATATACCATAAAGTATTTGGAGACGATGAGGCATCACATCAGTAAACGCCCTTAAATTATTTAGTATCACTTTTAAGATTATTTCATTAATTTTTTTTTTAAGAGACAGGGTCTTGCTCTGTCATCAATGCAGGAGTGCAGCAGCCCAATCATAGTTCATAGCAGCCTCAAATTCCTGGGCTTACATGACCCTCCTGAGTAGCTGGAATTATAGGTTCCATACCTGGTCAATTTTTAATATTTTTTGTAGAGATGGGCTCTTGCTATGTTGCCCAGGCTGATCTAACTCCTGGCCTAAAGCAATCCTCCTGGCTTGGCCTCCCAAAGCACTGGGATTATAGGTGTGAACCACCATGCCTAGCTTCATAATAAAAATTTTTAATAAAACAAATGTTAACATTGCATTTAAAATTCCAGACTGAAGTCAAAGAAGCTTATATATTACAGAATTTTCTCTGCCATTATTTTCTTAGCTTTCCAGTTTTGTTTCTTTGTAAAACTAAAGGAACTTATTGCTTACTGGAATATGAAAATCTTATCAATATTGCTTGTTATGCCAATAATGTCATATATTTCAGTATGGGACTTATATTGCTAAGTTATATCCTAAAGCCTATAAATTCTCACTCCCAGATTTAAACATTACCCTCTGTATAATGTCATCAAGAAAGATTTAGGCAATACTTTAAAGATTTATCAAAAACTTCTAAACCAAATTTTAAAAGTCTTGAAATATTCACTAAAATATAAAGTTCTTATGAAAAAATTCTAAACATTTCAAGATTCTAATTCAGAGCAGTTCCTGGCATTCTCTGACCAGGTTCTATCTTCCCCTCATCCATAGTCAGCCTCTGGCCTCTCCTTCTGCTGATACCCAGTGGTTTGCAGTACCCACTCACACTGTTCCCATGCCTGATCCCTAGGAAGTCTTCTCAAATCCTAAGATTTGGTCTTCATTTGGCTCAAAGCTTCTCTCTGTCCTGGCAGAACCTTATCTAGTGAAATCCTTTACATCTGTGTTTTTCCCTGTCATGTGCACCTCAAGGGCTGGACTGCATCTTTTGTCATCTTTGTCCCCTCCAAACTTCACCTTGTCCACATGTAAATCTGTCCACAAAGGTTTTTTAGTATTGTTAGGCAGTGTGTCCTAGATTGGATCTTGGAACTGACAAAAGACACTGATAGAAAAAGGTGAAATCCAAATAAACTCTATAGTTTAGTTAATAATTTTGTGCTAATTTTAATTTCTTAGTTCTGCTAAATGTGCCATAAAGTAGGAGTTAAAATTAGGAGAAGCTGGGTGAAAGGTAAATGGGAACTCTCTATGCCATCTTTGCAACTCTTCCATAAATTGAAAATTATTTCAAACTGAAAAGTTTAAGAACAGCAAAAAACATGCTAGTACATAGCCAGGAAGGACTTTATTCAGAGCTGTCCAGATGATATTCACTTACGTTCCATCTTTTCTTTCTTGAAGTACTTCATTCCAGCCAATAAACCTCCTCCAATAGCAAATGTGATTGCCAAAGACTTCCAGGAAACAGGCTACTAGGGCAGAGATTTCAAAAATAAAAATCCTAGTAAGATGCAAACATTTAACTACACTAAATTTATTATAGTAGTTTTTAACATATATACACACAGGCAATGATCTTTTTAAATAAGCAAAATATTTCTGGGATGAGAAATCACTGAAAGTTTCTGTGGATGCCATTAGTTCTGAGATCTGAATACAGACAATTACAAAAGCACTCATTTCCTGGGGAAAGTTCCTAAGTCAGTTTATTTTCACGTGAAAAAACACCCAAAGGAGCTTATTTATTATTATAAATAAATAAATGAAATGGGGAAGGTTAACCTAACTCTGGCTTCCAGAAGTAACAAACTCAAAGTAGAAGAGGCATCTAAAAGTGGGGCTTCTTGCAAATGACATCGATTATTTCTTTGTACTCTTTTGCAAGTCCCCCAAAAGGGGGACCAAAAGGGGGAATTAGGCCTAATTCATTAACCTTCCCCCAGCTCCAAAACCCACTTCTCTTACTTATCATTAGAAGGGTGTGGCTCTTAAGTTCTTTGGGGGTCAGAACTAGAACTCAAGAGAAACCCGAGAAAAAGGCATATCCGTACGTAACTAAGATCTACTTTTTGTTTCAATTTCAACGTATACACGGAATATATGAACGGGGTTCGAGTGGCAGAAATTATAAAGGTGCTCTGTCTTCGCAATCATGGTAAACTTGAGGTTCAGAAAACCTCAAGCTCATTTTATTTTTCTGGTGCAAACGCTAACATAAAACCCAAGCCTGGGAATCTAATCACGCAGAGAGGGTGTAGGTTCTCAATTTCCCTCCGGAGGACTGGGACTACCCGCAAAGCAGGGGAAGCAGGATGAGATTCTATGACCCAGGTAAGACCGCCGCACTGAGGGCAATTTTAGGGCAGGCCGAGTAGTTTCTGAGGTTATGACCAAGTGGGATGAGAAGGACAGCGCGCTGGCTGATAGCCGCGACAAGCACTGGAAGAGCTCTAGATATAAACTCACCCCGGGCTTCGAGGGGTGCGTGGGGTCTCTGCGGCCCTTCTCCTCCGGCCCCGACGACCCTGGGGGTGGTGGCATAGCCGTGCTGAGGGGCCGGCTTCCCAGGCACCTGCCAGCAAGCCCCGAGGCCCGCCACACCTCCTCCTGCCGCGCGCAGAATTGCCTCAGCAAGATTCTGGCGGCTTCCTGGGCCGGGCCCCAGATCCCGAGTCCAAGAGGCAAGAGACGCCAAACTTGGCCAGCCGGTGGCCGCATAATTCGGCCCGGCACTAGTAACAGCCCCGCCATGAGCTTCGGAGACCGCGCCTCCTTTGACCAACCCTGCGACTTCCGGTACTGTTCCGCTTCCTCCGGAAGTCAGGGGGAGCCGCTCTCTCCTCTCCGCTCGATGGTGGCGCGGTTGCCTAGCGGGTTGTCAGGGAGGGCGTCGCTGAGGGGGCCGGAGCGCGGTAGGTAGAGGGGTGTCCGGCGCGGGCTGGGCTGGGGCTGCGTACCCGGGAGGGCTGGGGTGGGCAGGGCGCGGGGCTGAGGGTCTGCGGGGTCCTGGGGAGCGGCCGCCTTGGAGGCGCAGGCTGCGCGGCTGGGCCGAGGCCAGGCAGCCCTGAGCGTTGGGGGCGCCCAGGTTTGTTCGGGGGCTTCGGCGACCGCAGCTAGCTCCTCGCCCCGGGGACACTTCCAGGTTGGACGAGAAAAGTCACTGCCTCGAGACTGGAGCGACGGGGCAGCCCCCATCCCCATCTTGTCTGGCCGCCCTTATTCCCCTAGTCTTCTCAGCTGGAGGCCCGCCCAGAGGAGCTGCAAGGTTGTTTACTCCTTTGCATTCTTAAAGTAGAAGCAGACCCATTATGCGCTTGACTCTTTTTTGAAATTGCTGATAGGATCATTTGAGTGGTTACAGTGGCATGGAAGACTTGAAGTATCCGGCGCTTCTAGTTATTCTAACAGCATTATAATGTAACTAATGTAACCTAATTAATAAAGCATAGCAGTGTAGAAGTATATACTGCGTGATATCCCATTCCTTAACTTAGTCTTCCTGGCTCCCAGTTGCTTAAAATACTTTCACTGACTCCCCTGTCCCCTTCATTTTAGTGGTTGGAAGTTTGTTGATGGATTCCTCATCTGGAACTGCTTGTGTTACTTGAGTACATCCACATATTATTGAGGTTAAGAGCATTTATAGGTTTATTTTTCATTCCTTGTGAAAGTTTAACTCTTTTGCATTCGTTGTGTCTGCCTTTATTTATATTTCAATATCTGTAATCTTAACTCCCCTCTTCCCCCCTACCTCCGTGGTGGATTTGCAAAAACAATAAAAGGGGGAAAATCGCCCCTCTTTTGCTTAATTACAGATCCCACTCCTGTGTGGCTTCTCTTCGAGGGGCTTCCACTGAGCAGAAGCAGCTCATGCTCTAGTGATTGTTGGATTGGAGCATGGTTGGTTTTTCTTTTGGTTTTGTTTTTCCCTATAAGCTGATAGTATGGTGTTTCTTGATTCTAAGTTGAGCTGGAATTTTCTGAAATTTCCGCTCAAAGTTCTTGGGTGTTTGCTCAACACTTCAAATCGGTAATCAAACTAATTTTTCTATATTAAAGTTGCCTGTGGGTAATATTTTTGCCCTTTTATTTTTGTGTATTTGTTTGCCCCTGGAGAAGTTTTTCCTGTAATTGACAAAAAGACATAAAAGTACCTTGCTTGTTCAGGCAATGAGCATGCAAAATTATTGTTCATTTCTTTAATTGCTCAATTATAGGTCAACTGATCAAACACACATAAATTAAAATTGAATTCAGTGTTTCCTGCTGATCTATTAAATTTTATTTGCCAAACTGACTTTTAATAGCTTTACCCTTGCTTATTAAAGCATTTTATATAACTTCTTCATATTAAATTGATTATGTTAAATAAAATATTAGCATCTAAAACAGTTCCTGGCTCAGAGTAGGTGTTTTATAACTATATTTTGGATGAATTGCTAATAATACCTCTGAACCTGATTTCATAGACCTTTGAAACGTTAGTCCTAACCTAAAGAGTTATAAGCCTTATCACTTTTATTAATATTAAATCGCCAAGATCACCAAATGGTTTTGTTTTCCTTCCCAATTTAGATACTTTTCTTGAGATAGACCATGGATTAATATCATCTGATAATTTGCTCTATCAATTGTTACTAGGCTGATCACATTTTGTGCTTGATATAACTTTAGGCTGGTTTGGCGAATATATGGAGGCCCTAACTTTTTGTGAACTTGCCAGTTACTGTAATATGTTTGCTTCATCTTAGGTCCAGATCCTTGATTCCTGTGCCTAACCACAAACATTTCCTGCCTCAACTTTTCTGTTATTGCAAAATTTAAAACAGTTTTTAAGACACTCTCTCCCTTTCATCTTTCCATGGTCTTTGCATATGAAAGTTTTGCTCACCCACCCCTTCCTGAGACATTTTGCTTAGTGTCTCAGGAAGGCTTTGAGCTTCTATTATAATCTTCTCTGTTAACAAATTCTCTCATATGTCTGGACTTTCCTGAACAACCCCCCTCTTTTTTTCATTGACACTGGAGCAGAGGAAACATTTTTCACAATATCATCTTTCACAAGTTGGTCCTAGATGCTTGGGGGCTTTCCACAGGAAGTTCAGCTTTCTGCCTAAGTATTAGAGAAGGTTTATTATTATTGAATTATAGCAAGTTTTCAGCAATTAAGCATCTCTGGGTATTTCTTCCTATTCTTAAAAATCACTTATGCCTAAGGTGGCTTTCACAAAATACTGGCTGCTTATCCTGTACCATGATTTTCTGTAGGAATTTTGAGAGAAAATCTTTTAAAGTTTTCTTTTTCTTTTTTTTTTTTTTTTTGCTTTTTAGAGACAGGATCTTGCTTTGTTGCCTAGGCTGCAGTGGCACCATCATAGCTCACTGTAATGGCTCACTGTAACCTCGAATTCCTGGGCTCAAGCAATCCTCCTGCATCAGCCTCTTGAGTAGCTTGGTCTATAGGCATGAGTCACCACACCCAGCTAATTTATTTTATTTTTGTAGAGACAGGGTCTCATTATGTTGTACGGGTTGGTCTTGAATGCCTGGCCTCAAGCATTTCTCCTGCCTCAGTTTCTCAAAGTGCTGGGATTATAGGTATGAGCCATCATGCCTGGCCAATTTTATTTCTTTAATTCCCAATCAAAGAATCTTTGAACCTACCTACAAGCTATAAGCCCCTTTAAGATTTCCTGCCTCTTCAGGCCAAACCAATGTATACTTTCCATGTGTTGATTTATGATTTTACCTGCAATTCCTGTTTCCCTAAATTATATAAAACCACACTAACCCAACCACCTTGGAACCACTTGCTCAAGACTTCTTGGGCATTTCTCCCCAGGCAATGGTTACATATATTTGGCAAAGAATAAATTTCTTTTATAATAATTCTGTAAATTATTTTACAGAGTTTGGGTTTTTTTTTCCCGATAACAACTAAAAATTTGCCATTCTCTTTTCTATTCAAAAACAAAATATTTCTTTAGTCTTCTACATTTTCCAGATTCTATTTTCTGTAAATTTTAGATCTTTTAAAAAAAACTTTGTATTATAGACACTTTTAAATATATATGAAAGTAATGAATAAATCTCATGTACTCACTGCTAACTTCAAAATTTATTATCCTCTATATATGCATTTTTGTGTGTATGTATTCGGTAGAGGAGAGAGTATTTTGAAAAAGTTCGGTGACATTAGAATTTGTATTAATTCTGTTTCCTCACTGTAGGTGGCTTTGTGTTTTTGATCTCTCTACTCACCAGGACCAGTCTTTCTTAGATCCCTGACATCTCCGTGAACCATAAAATGAAAGGCTAAACTAGGTACGAGACTCAATTCCCTGCCTACTTAGTTCTTTTTGCCCTGCCTTACTCACTTCTGACCCTGATTGTCTACCTGAATATGTTCCTGAAAACTGAAATGCTCCAAAATCTGAAACTTGAGTGCTGACATGACATGCAAAAGGAAATGCTCATTGGAGTGTTTTGGGTTTTTGATTTTCAGATTAAGTATGCTCAACTGGTAAATGTATTCCAAATCTGAAAACATTTGAAGTCCAAAACTCTTCTGGTCATAAGCATCTTGAATAAAGAATAACCTGTACAAATTTAAGTTTCTGTTTTTCAAAATAATTTCTTTGTTTAATAAAATTGTAAGTTACCTTCCTATTTCTAACCTTGTTTTAAAAGCTTATCGAGTCAACATTTTGGATCTCTTTTCTGTCTCAGAACACAATGCTATTTTGAAATGTGTGCCCCTTAGTAGTTCTCTCCACATTGCTTAACTTTCTTTAAAAGGTTGGCAAATCTTAATATAGCTTTGAGTTTCCCTAAACTGAACGGCGTTCCAGTGGAAGGTGTATTTGACAGGATTTTGGTATCAAATAACAGAAAATCAGTTGGATTTGACTTTAAGCTCAACGGGGATTTTATTGGCTGATATACATAACTAAATGACCAACAATAGTTCTAGCCTGGACAGGTGGTTTGGAGGTATTCAACTAATGTTGCCAGGACTCTACTTCCCATCATTCAGATTTGCTTCCTTCTGTTTTGGGTTTCTTCTCAGTTAACTTTTCTCTAAAAACACTAGTCTTAGTTTATCAGTTTGGCAGAATTAGTGGCAGTACTTTTGCTAATAGTTCCAGTAAATGTCCCAGGGCTGATGCTGATAGACTTAGTAGAGATTATTTGCCTACCCATAACTGGCCAGAGGAAAGCTGGGCTTTTATAGACCAGGCCTGGGTTATATGTTTCCCATTCTACTTCCCTAGCTGGGGGTGGAGGTCACACAGGAATGGAGAAAGGGGAACTGGATAGATGCCGAAAGGAAAATTAGGGTGCTATTATTAATACATCAAGAACAGGAAATGAATGCTAGGTAGGCAAAAATAACAGCTGTGTACTGGAGAGAAGATCAAATTAATTAGGAGTAAATCTCCTCAAGGAGATCCAAAAACAAAGAAGTTCATTTAGCAGGGGATAAGAGCATACTCAGAAACAGTTTTCTCTTAAGCTTTCATATTGTTTATGTGATATACTTGCTAAATCATCTTTTGATTTGATTCTCCTTTTAATGCTGAACTTGGAATCGCAAATGTTTGAAACCTAACAAGGCTAGAGATTTTCAGCCGACTTAGTTGGGTTTTGTATTTCTTGTAATTATATCAGAGTTCACCTTTCAAATCAGATTGTCTCTCATTTATATACCCCTGGTTATATATTTACTGACTTGATATCTAGTGAGGTTTTCAGATAGAGTTGTAGGAAGAAATGAGCAAATAAAAAATAACAGCATGAGAGCACCAAACCATTTTGAAAGATTTCCATCTCTTTTTTTCTGGTGTTTTACATATTTTAGGGCTAGTTATGCCCAACCAGATTAAGGAAGAAAGGAAAGTAGCTGAAGCGCATAATCGGGTTAATTAGAGAGTCTGTCATTAGTGACAATTATTTTAGAATGAAAAGAAGCCCTTAACTCTCAAATAAGCCAAATTGAAGTCTGCCCTTATTCCGGCTGTGGAGTTGCTGCCTCCATCTCTGATAGAAGTGCTGTTGCAATAGAAGTCTCACATGTCTGTAGAGGATTAAATATGGACTCTGTAGGCGCATTCAGCAAATGACTAGAGACTAGGAATCCGAAAGTAATTTTAGAAAGATGAATTTTTAGGTTTAAATAAATTCAGACAATACAGCAATAGTTTATTACTGTAGTCTTTACAACAAAAGTAGTTGATAATTTAGGATCTTGGTCTTTGATTTTTGTTTTAACCGTTAGTGTTCTTGGCTCTTTTAAGAGATTATAATTTAGATTTTAATCAATCTAATAATGGTTTTTTTCAAGTTTAAATCTCTTGTTCTTCTTGGCCACTGAGGCAGAGCAGAGATCATATGTAAGAAGAAAAGATTTCATATTTACTGTTTGATTTTGGGGGTAGATTAATATTCAGGATAAAAAACCTGGTTCAAATTAGAATCCAACTATTGAAGAACCAGGAATCACTGCTCACAGACATGATAATAGTCACATCAATGTCATAGTTTTTGTGGTGGATTTTTTTGGGGGGAGTTTAAGATTATTTCTCTCTTTTCATATTTTTATTGCTCCTCAAATCCCCTGTTACTTCAGATATAAAATAGAAGAAACTAACTTCAAGTGCCTACCCCCCACTGATGAGAAAAGAGTCAGTCTGACATGAAATAACCCATAATGGGACCCTTTTACAAAGTACTTAAAATAAGTGAGTGTAATATACAAACAACTTTCCAAAAAAACCTTGAAGTTTTGATAGAATTATTTGATGTTTATGGGAGGGTATGTGTGTATAAGTATTTCTCAAAAATTAGAATTATTCTAGATTTGAATTTGGCTTTACTAGAAATAGAATGCCTGTTCATTGATAGGATAGTACCCTTTTGTAAATTGTTACTCTTCTAAAGGGTGGAGGTTACAGAAGAGAAAACTGAAGCATTTTAGAGGTTTAGTAATTTCGACTGAAGAGCGTTGGACTCTAAAGCCCATGTAATTTTTCCAATATCAAGCTGCCTAGTAAATTAACCATTAAGTTTAATAGTCATTTTACCATTATCTTCAAATTAAGAAATAAAAATATTTATAACTTAGTTATCTTTTTTACTTTGTTTAGTTTATTTAGATACCTGTTTGGAGGTTATGGATGATAAACCCAATCCTGATACCCTAAGTGAGAGTTCAGAGCGTCTCTTCTCCTTTGGAGTTATTGCAGATATTCAATATGCTGATTTAGAAGATGGCTATAATTTCCAAGGAAACAGGCGGCGATACTACAGACACAGTCTTCTTCACTTACAGGAGGCCATTGAAGACTGGAATAATGAAAGCAGCACACTCTGTTGTGTCCTTCAGCTTGGAGATGTCATTGATGGGTATAATGCACAGTATAAAACATCGGAGAAGTCCCTAGAACTTGTTATGAACACATTCAAGAAGCTTAAAGTTCCAGTTCACCATACATGGGGAAATCATGAGTTCTATAACTTCAGTAGAGACTATTTAACAAACTCTAAACTTAACACAAAGTTTCTAGAAGCCCATATTGTGCATCATCCTGAGACTGTGCCTTCAGAGAATTACTATGCTTACCATTTTGTACCATTCCCTAAATTCCGGTTTATTTTACTTGATGCTTATGACTTGAGTGTCTTGGGCATGGATCAGTCTTCTCCAAAATACCAGCAGTGTATGAAGATGCTGAGGGAGCACAATCCAAATACGGAACTGAATAGTCCTCAAGGTGAATTATTCCTTTGAGCTGAGAATCTAATACATTGTCTTTAAATTCTTCAGCTACCTTTTATTCAGCAGGAAGATGGACAACTAAGGTAAAAGTATATTGTCGCTGTTGTTCAGGGTCAGGATTTCTCACAAGCCTGATCTTAGATGGATTGGTTACAGTTGATTCAAGATTAATTTACTTAACAGATATTTGAATGCCTATTCCAGGCCAGGCACTTTTTCTAGGGATAACTATTCAGAGCTGTAAACAATACTGACAATATCACTTTTTTTATGGACTGAATGAAGGGAACAAAAGCGGTAGGTGGGCAGGGCAAGTGATAAATGAAACAGAAACAAGATTATTTCCACAGTGATAAGTGCTACCAAGAAAATAGAGTATGATATTATAGAAAAGGACTAGGGGTACTGTTTTACATTGGGTCATCAGAGAAAGCCTCTCCATGGAGAAAAACATCTAAGCCTAAACTTAAATGACACGAAGGTGTCACCCTTGGAAAGGAGGAGGTTCAGGACTAGCAGACAGAGGGAAAAGCAAACGCAAAGGCATGAAGCGGAATAAGACTTTGGCATCATTGAAGAACACAGAAAAGGACCAGGGGGTACAAGATGATTTTGGAGAGTAAACAGGGGAAAGACTACATAGTGGCTCGGTGGCCGTAGCAAGGAGTCTGTATTTTGTTTTCAGTGTAGTGGCAAACCAGTGAAGTAAGCAGGGGAATGTTAAGATTAGGAGTGCGATGTGGTGTGGTTTATTTAAATGTTGCTCTGACTTCCTTTTTTAAGTTGATTGCTGCTAATCAAATATTACTAAAGAAAAGAACAAATGTATCTGCATTAGCTAAATTTGAATGCCCAAAGGAGGGGAAAAATGATATTTGGTGGGTCTGACTTACTTGAATTTATTTCAGGACTTTCTGAGCCCCAGTTTGTCCAGTTTAATGGAGGATTCAGTCAAGAACAGCTGAACTGGTTGAATGAAGTTCTTACATTCTCTGACACAAACCAAGAAAAAGTGGTGATCGTGAGTAAGTATTTAAATTGTCTATCTGATTACACTAGCATTTTAGAGATTGGGAAACGTTAAACTTTAAAATAGACTAGCAATATTTTTGTTTTGATATCCTTTTTCTATAAAATGGATGCTTAGTTTAAAAATTTTTATTGAGAAACAACCTGTATATAAAAGTAATATTTAAGGGTGAATGAGGAAAGGATTGTAAAATAAAAAATCTTGCCCTATATGAGAACCTATCAGTTGGCCTTTTGGGTTTCAAAGTAGAATGGGATCCCAAATGGGATCTATTTATGAGGTTAATTTTATTTTTAATTTTTTTCTTAGAGACAGGGTCTCTCTCTGTCACAAACTCCTGGGCTCAAGCAAATTCTCCTGCCTCAGCCTCCCCAGTAGCCAGGACTACAGTAGCCACCATGCCTGGCTATTTATTTTTATTTTTTTATAGAGATGGGGATCTCGTGTTGCCCAGGTGGGCCTCAAGTGATCCTCCTGCCCCGGCCTCCCAAAGTGCTAGGATTGCAGGTATGAGCCACCCTGGCCAGTAATTTTTAACTGAGAAATTCAGTTCAGGCCCCACATCAAATTTCAGCCCTACGAGACCTGCCTATTATTGAAGTGCCACCAAAGAGAGGCCACTACTGCCTCAGTGAAACAAAGCTGATATAATGGGGATCCATGTTACAGACTCCACTGGCAGTGAGTACTTTCAGTTCTCTAACTGTGTCTAAGGTATATATTATTTTCATTTAGAATCATTTTCACAGACACACTGCCATCAGAGATTGTGGGGATATGGAGGTGCTTACAACACACTAACATGTACACATGTGCATGTGTGTGTGAGAGTGCATGTGTGCACACATGAAGAACCAAATTTGGATTTACAGCATGGCTGGTGGACTGGTTGGGGGCTGAGATTAGAGCCCTTATGTTAGAATTAGAATCAATATGGGATAATAGGTGAGAAGACTGGATTGAGAGCCGGAAGGATCGGACCCCATTCTGGGTATTGTTTATGTGAACTGTGTAGCCCTGGACAAATATCGAATGTACAGACTGCAGTGTTTGCAATAGTGCCCCAGATGAAATTATGAATATGAAAACCCTTTGGAAATGATAAGCTATTTGGATAGTTGGTAATATAAAACTTTATTTCAACCTATAAATGTAGTTTTTACTTATTATTCTTACAATAATGTGGTAAAAACATGTAGATAGAGCAGGAATATTTCTGCTACTGTTGGACTATCAAGTGTCATTTAAGACTTAGAAAAGATTAAGTACTCTCAGGGACTGTTGGGACAATGGGACACCATTTGGCTCTATAATAAGTGGTCTCAAACTAGGATACTTCTTGACTTGTGTCTGCTACTTAGTTTTCCACTGCTAGGCTGTACCTGTTACTTTTTAGAAGCACTGGAGCTGAAAGGGACCTAGAGATCATATAGCCAAACCTTTTAATTTTAAAGATAAACTGAAGCCCAAAGTGATTAAATTATATAGCAAAAATCATACAGCAACTGACAGAACTGAGACTAGAATCCATGTTTTATATCCAGTCCTTTTTCCCACTCTATCCTGTATCCTTCCCTTTTCTTTTTTCTGATGGCAATATACATATCTACTTAACAGTCTTTTCAGTTTCTTCCTTCATTTGCCATAAGCTTAGAAACTGGATACGCAAACCTTTAACAATTGAATGTCTCAGGTTTTCTTTAGTAAAGTTAAATTTCCCTTTGTTTTTGTTTGCTTTTTAACTTTCATTGTGGCTACTCAGATGTCATTTTGGCCACTTTTTGAGTTTTGGCCATGCAGTTGGAATGATATTAGCTGAGATGGGGAACACAGCAGGGTGAGGGGGTTTGAGTGGGAAGGGTAGGGGGCACAGGTTTGGAAATAGTAAGTTTCAAATGCCTCTTAGACATCAGTGGGGATGTTGAGTGGGCAGTGTGGACACATAAGCTGGAGATTCAGAATGGATTTAGGGTAGATATATAAATATGGAAGTGAGAAGGATGTGGATTATAGATGATATTTAATGCATGTAAATCACTTAGGAGATCACCAACACATTAGGTGTAGAAACAGAAGTGTAAGAGCCAAGCATTTAGGCACTCCTGATAAGATGCTGGGGAAATGAGGAGGAACCAGCAGGGTTCCAAGGAGATTGGAAGTTAGTGGCTGTCAAGTTTGGGGTAAAACTAGGAAGACACCATTAGGAAAGCCTAGCGGTGTCCTGGAAGCCAAGTGTTTCAAGGAGAAGGGAGCAACTAACTGTGTCAGAAGCTACAGGGACTTGATAGATTCAGTATGGATTCTAGGTACTATTACTAGAGAGCTACCCAGACCCTTTGGACTCTCAGCCCTGAGAGTTGTAGTTAGTGTGTTTGTGCACCTGGGCATGCATGTACATATGCATACCTTTCCTGCTTTAGGGATCTGTTAACCTCTTCCTCCCAAGCCCTCCCTGCTTTTTTTCTTTTAACTTGTATTACAAACAAATAGATATTAAACAGAAGCATGTTTAAATTTCAGAAAAAAATGAACAGTAGCAGAAAAAAAAAAGTAATTTTATAGGAAGAAGCAGAGACCAGTGAGCTATGGTACACCTACTTTAGAATGAAAACTGTGGCTTGATATATGGTATGGGCTTATAGATGTGTTGGCATTGGGAATTAGAAGTTGTCTTGGCTCTACTTCTGCATGTCTCCTGTGGGACCTCAGTATAAATCTTCCCTGCTTTAACTCAGTTTTCTAATCTGTGAAGTGAGTATGCCTAACTCATGGCAGCATTTACAGTCCCATGAATAAATTCAAATGCAGCGGTCCCAACATTTTTGGCAGGGGAAGTGGAGCTGAGGTGGTGATGCAAGAGATGGGGAGCCACCGTAAATACAGATGAAGCTTCACTCACTCACCCACCACTCAATGGTGCACAGCTCACCCACCAATCCATCGCCCGGGGTTGGTGGCTGCAGTTCTGAGGCATTGAGTGTTTGTATAAATGACACATACTCCATGGCCCATCCTTAAGCTGTTCTTCTATTTAGTAGTATATTTTTCTATGTATATAACATTCATATTTAAGGCATTCAATGAGATTGGATTGTGGTACAGGACTGCCTGATTTCTGGGTGCCTTTTAGACTGCCCTCAACAGGATATCCTTGGTCTTCTTTGGTGTTTGGGCAGCTTGAGACTATGTAGGCCTCCGAGATCTCAGGGTTTTGCCTCTATAGGAACCTCTCCCACCTGATGTGAACTGTCCTGCCCTTCTTTCTATGCTCCAGAGACTTGGCTGTAGAGATGATCTAGTTCTTCCTATATGTGGGTTCTCTCTGGTTTAGTCAATTTGGATAATGAGATAGCAATACACAATTTTTTTTCCCTGAGTACTAGCTTTAGCCATTTGTTTTGATGGAAGAGATATTTCTTAACCACTTCAGTATGGTGCTCACAGGCCACGAAACCTTGCCCACAGCCAGCATTCCTAGTCCGCACGATAGTTTGTGCTGTGCGTTGACGACGAATCCGTTTTGCTCTTGTGTGATGAGGAAAGCTTTAAAGCACGAAAGCTTGTTTTACTTTACAGGCAGCTTTACTTGTAATGTAAATCAGAATAGGTAACATGTACATATATGTTTTCATTATGTTATTTTTAAATGTTCACAATTTTATTTTGATAAATGAAAAATTAGAAAAGTCATATCACGGCTGTCGGCTAAAGTCGATGCTCGGCTGTGTGCGTTCATCTGTCGACTATAGTCAACGCTTATACTGAAGTGGTTAATAGGCTCATAACTCTTCTTTTCTTTAACAGGCCATCTTCCCATTTTCTCAGAGTCCTCCGACGACGTATGCCTGGCCTGGAACTACAGAGACGCCCTGGCAGTCATTTGGTCCCATGAGTGTGTGGTGTGTTTCCTTGCTGGTCACACTCATGATGGTGGCTACTCTGCAGATCCTTTTGGTGTACACCATGTCAGTCTAGAAGGAGTTATTGAAACAGCTCCAGACAGCCAAGCGTTTGGCACAGTTCATGTCTATCCTGACAAAATGATGTTGGAAGGGAGAGGCAGAGTTCCAGATAGAATTATGAATTATAAGAAGGAAAAAGGGTTCCATTGTTAGTCTCATATATTTTAGTCTGATCTCACAAAGAGAAATGAGCTTTGTGTTTGCCCCCCCAAAACAAAAATAAAAATCCTCAGTCTCATTGTTTATTATTCTGCTTGTATAACGAAATATATTTATGAGTTCAGTGTGCTTTAGTTAAATAAATATTCAGATAAGATATTCAGAACTGTCATTTTGGATAACTTATCCAGTATGAGTTAGAAACATATCAGGGAGGAGAATGAAGAAGGGTCATATAGTCTTCATAAAAGATTTTTTTTGTCCTTACCTGAAAACTTTTTACTTTTTATAAGAATGTATTCATGTGTTAACTGTGTAACTTAAAATTCATAATTAAAAAAATAATTATGGTAAACGTTTCTGCTCACATTTCTGTGTAAATGAGCTTTGGACAATTTTCAATCAGAATACCTATGCTTAGACTTTTATAGGCTTGTAGTTCCATTTTGTAAACAAAACAAAAATCAATAGTTATTTCACAGGTGAATGTGTAGCACTACATCTCTGTAGGAAAGGCCTCCAGAGAAGTCACCTGGTCCTCTTGTGATTCTAACCAAAGCCAGGACCAAGTGCTAGTGTAGCGGTGTGCCTGCTAGCTTGGTTTGTTTGGGCCACCAGCTAGTGCTGTAAGACTACAGCAGGCAAATAGATTTATGCTTGACTCTCTTATAGACAAATGAGACATGTTTAACTCAGTTGTCATATATGCTAAGGCTTATTTACACAAACACTGGATGGCAAATGGGGATTGTTCAAGTGTAAAGAAAGTTTTATTTTGGGCCTAAAACAATGAGAGAGAAGGGATACGAGATGGCAGATGAGAAAAGCTGCCAGCCAGAGTGTCTGTGCAAAAAAGACAGATTTTACAAGAAAGTGAAAAAAATAAGCAAACATACATCAGATGAGGGTCAGAAGGAAGGGTACCTGAGATTACAGGAGACTCCACAGGAAGAAGTTGCGGAGGAGAACTGGAAAGAGAAAGGCCCCCAGAGGCTTGGAGACCAGTGACAAGGGTAGGTGGAGCAGTTAACTTTACTCTCCCTTGCATCTTAGACTACTACTAGTGGGCTCCTGGGCAGTTGGAGAGACCTGCTAACACCAGCCCAGAGATGGCTGCGCCAGTGAGCAGTGAGCCTCTTGCTGATGGGGCACCAGGCTCCCAGCTCCCTCGGGGCACTTCCCCACACATAGACCCAAGATGTTTGGCAGGTGCCATATTGCTTCATTCTCCCCTCCCCCTTCCCTGTCCACAGCTGCTGAGAGGCAATTTAGCCACCACCCGGAGGCATCTCCAGGGAACAGGACCTTTCATTTTGGGGCACTACAACAAACTGAAGGGTACTCAGATTGTGAGCTCACTACCCGCCAGCCCTCCCAGGTGCTGCTGGCCTGGTGACTCCAGGAAAACAGGGCAGATCCTGAGGCTGAGAGACATCTGTCCAGCTTGGGCACCCCATGGGTGACTTGGGACTGACACCACTTTCCTTGGCAGGGTCAGGGATTGAACCTTCCGAAGCCCAGGGGTCAGGCCTGCAGACCAGATCCCATACACCCAGTTCTCGATTGCATTGCCCTGGGGCACAGAAGGAACATTTGTGAACAAGCATACTGAGGTGTGTGTGCTTTCGGGTGGATCAGCGTGCTTGAGGGGCAACCTCCTCCCATGGGAGGGCCACATGCCCAACCCAGGCTGCAATCCTGCCCAAGGAACCTCTTGGCTTGCATCACAGCCAGGGGAGACCTGCTGGTGTGAGGTCCTGCCTGCTGGCAGAGGCCCAGGAAAAGCCACAGAGTCGGGGAGGGAAGAAAGGAGCAAGGCCTGCTTCAAACTGCAGGTCTCAGACAGCCCCACCCACATACACAGACTTTCTGGTTGAGTGGGTCCATTATAGCCCCTCCCTGACAGCTTTGCCCAGGAGAGAATAAACCTTTGACCCCTGTTAACAGCATTTGTGGTGCCTGAGGGCAGGCTTACCCAACCCAGCTTCACCCAAACTCACTCCCAGACCTTTCATAACTGCAGTGGAGAATAAGGACACGCCTGGAAGTCCCAGGGCCCCACCCACCAAGTGAGGCACAAGACTGCTTCTCCAAAGGAACAAGAGCTGGCTACAGCATCCCAAAACAACACTATAGCCTGCTACTCCCAGCAAGCTCCACCTACTGACAGGGAGGTCATTCTGCACACCCTTTTACTGCATCTACTGACTCATCATACAGAGTGTGGTAGAATCTCACCCACAAACAACATCTACTGGCTCAAAGACTAAACAGGGCATGTCATTATCCAAACGAAAATCTAAAGGTAAGAAGCAACAACTGATCCAGATGGGAAGGAATCAGCTTAAGAACTCTGGAAGTATGAAGAATCAAATGGAAAGCACACCCCCAAAGATGAACAGTAGCTCTCTAGAAATGGACATCAACCAAAGTCAGAACACTAAAATGACAGAAGAAGAATTTCTAACATGGATTGTAATAAAACTCAATGACATGCAAGAAAAAATGGATAACAAACACAAAGAAACCACAAAAAAATATCCAGGACCTGGAAGAAAAATTCACTAAAGAAATTGAAACATTAAAGAAAAATCAGGCCGGGCGCTGTGGCTCACGCCTGTAATCCTAGCTCTTGGGAGGCTGAGGCGGGCGGATTGCTCAAGGTCAGGAGTTCAAAACCAGCCTGAGCAAGAGCGAGACCCCGTCTCTACTATAAATAGAAAGAAATTAATTGGCCAACTGATATATATATAAAAAAAATTAGCCGGGTATGGTGGCGCCTGCCTGTAGTCCCAGCTACTCGGGAGGCTGAGGCAGGAGGATCGCTTGAGCCCAGGAGTTTGAGGTTGCTGTGAGCTAGGCTGACGCCACGGCACTCACTCTAGCCTGGGCAACAAAGTGAGACTCTGTCTCAAAAAAAAAAAAAAAAAAAAATCAAACTGAACTCCTAGAATTGAAGAATCTATTCAGGGAACTACAAAACACAGTGGAAAGCCTCAAAAACAGGGTAGATCAAACAGAAGAAAGAATCTCAGAGATTGAAGATAACACCTTCCAATTAAATAAGTCAGTCACAGACATAGAGCAAATAAGAGAAAAATAGAGGAAAGAGCAAAGCCTACAAGAAATGTGGGATTATGTGAAGAAACCTAACGTGAGGGTTATGGGGATTCCCGAAGAGGAAGAAAAAAACATGCAAGGGTTGGAAAAGCTATTTGAAGATATAACAGAGGAAAATTTCCCAGGCGTTGCTGAAAATCTAGATATCCAAGTATAAGAAGCTCAAAGGACCCCTGAGAGATTCAATACAAACAGGAAGACACCACGACATGCAGTCATCAGACTGACCAAAATATCAACTAAAGAGGCCCTTCTACAAGCTGCAAGGTGAAAGAGGCAAATAACATACAAAGGAAAGTCAATCCAAATAATTCCAGACTTTTCAACTGAAACCTTACAAGGAAGGAGAGACTGGGGCCCCATTGTCACTATTCCGAAACAGAATAATGCCCAGCCTAGATCTTATACCCTGAAAAACTAAGTTTTGTATATGAGGGAGAAATAAAGACATTCTCAGAAAAGCAAAGACTGATGGAATTCACCAAGACAAGACCAGCCCTCCAAGAAGTACTCAAAACAGTGTTACCCATGGATCAGTACAATAAACACTCACGAATGTAAAACCACTCAAAAGCTAAAGATCAAAGGCCAAAACAAAGCAACAAAGTTCAACCCAACAAAACGAACAGAAATCTGCCCCACCTATCAGTTCTCTCAATAAATGAGAATGGCTTGAACTCCTCACTCAAGAGACATAGGCTGGCTGAATGGATAAAAAAAATTACAAGCCAAGTATCTGCTATCTTCAGGAAACACATCTAGCCTGTCAGGATGCATTTAGACTAAAGGTAAAGGGGTGGATAACAATATTTCAAGAAAATGGAAGCCAATAGAAGGCTGGTGTGGTGGTTTGATTTCAGATAACTTAGTTTTTAAATCAACAAAAGTAATGAAAGACGAAGAAGGTCACTATATAATGGTGAAGGGTACAGTTCAAGAAGAAGACATAACAATTCTAAATATGTGCACCCAGATTCATAAAGCAAACTCTACTTGATCTAAACAAATTGATAAACAACAACACCATAATAGCCGGAGACTTCAACACCCTGCTGACGGCACAGGAAAGATCATCTAAACATAAAATTAACAAATAAATAACGGACTTAAACAGAACTCTAGAACAAATGGGCCTGACATTTACAGGACATTCTACCCAAAAACCACTGAATATACGTTCTTCTCATCAGCTCATGGGACATTCTCTAAGATTGGCCATATCCTAGGACACAAAGCACGTCTCAAACAATTTTAAAAAATAGAAATTATATACCATGTATCTTTTCAGACCACAATGGAATAAATGTAGAAACTGATCCTACCAGGAGTCCTCATTTCTACACAAAGTCATGGAAACTAAACAACCTTCTGCTGAATGATCACTTCATAAATGAGGAAATCAAGATGGAAATCAAGAGATTCTTTGAACTAAATGACAAAGGTGACACAAGTTACCAAAACCTGTGGGACACAGCTAAAGCAGTCCTGAGAGGAAAGTTTATTTCCATAAATGCCTATATCCAAAAGTTGAAAAGATCACAAATAGACAACCTAATGAATCATCTCAAAGAGCTGGAAAAAGAAGAACAGACCAACCCCAAACCCAGCAGAAGAAGTGAAATCATTAAGATCAAATCAGAACTAAACAAAATTAACAACAGGGAAACTATACGGAAGATTAATAAAACAAAAAGTTGGTTCTTTGAAAAAAATAAACAAAATTGACACACCATTGGCTAGACTAACGAAAAGCAAAAAAGAAAAGTCTCTAATAAGCTCCATCAGGAAAATAAAGGAGAAGTTACAACTGATGCCACGGAGAAACAAGATATAATTTATGAATACTACAAAAACCTCTATGCACGCAAACTGGAAAATGTAGAGGAAATGGACAATTTCTTAGAAACACAGCCTCCTTAGGCTCAACCAGGAAGAAATAGAATTCCTGAACAGACCAATATCAAGTACTGAAATTGAAACAGCAATAAAAAACCTTCCTAAAAAGAAAAGTCCCTGGACCAGATGGTTTCACATCTGAATTTTACCACACCTACAAAGAAGAACTGGTGCCTATCCTGCAGAAATTATTCCACAACATCAAGAAGGATGGAATTCTCCCCAACACATTTTATGAAGCGAACATAACCCTGATATCAAAGCCAGGAAAGGATGCAACCAAAAAAGAAAACTACAGACCAATATCCCTTGTGAATATAGATGCAAAAATTCTCAACA